TCTGTTCAAAATCTGTTTAAAATCTGTTTTTCCTTCAACCAGCTGTCGCACCCCTACGAACGACAACCCTCAGAAGTTGTGCGAGCTAAGCATTAGAGGTCTTACCTTTTAACGTGCGATTCTTAACATCAGTTGATTATAGTATCAATAATAATATTAATTGAGGTGTTTATCATTTTCATTCAGTAGTTACTATTATAATATATTAATCTGAATATAATTCCATATAAATGGAAATGAGAGACGGATCAGTCGATAGCCGGTTGGTTCGACGTGGGTGCTTTGTTCACACACTCAAATCGACCGCCGTGTTGGTCGGTGGTTCAAGCCCCAGGCTGAACGATCAATTTTCACTTGCTATCGTCCAATCCGTGTTACAAATCATACGTTAAAAGGTAAGATCTCGTTAGTCCTTAGCTCGCACAAGTTTCGACTTCGTAGGGGTGCGACAGCTGGTTAACGGAAAAAACAGAATTCGAACAGATTTTTTTTTAAGAAACTGTTCTTTCAGTCAACCTTCATGAAGTTTCTGTAATGATTTGACATATAGATGGTGTGTTTCATTTTCAGAATAAAAGGTTAACAGAAAAAAATTACTGAGGTTGCTTTTGTTCGTGTGTTGCTATATTGAGTAGAGTAGATACGCGAAGTGGGAATGGTGTAGATGAAAAAGATAGTAAAATGAAAACAATGATGTTTCAATGACATAAATTTTAAAAAAATGAAGAATGACTGGGGACCCACTACCTGATTACTGTTAANCTCTTGGTCAAATTTTCTCTTATGTGTAATATTTCCACCTCACGAAAGTTCTCCTTCTCAAATGTTCTGTCAGAGCACAATATATTTTATGCAGTCTACAATCACTTTCATAACCAATCAATCCAGTGCCGAATTCATTGAAACTTTCCATTTTCTGCTGATACAAACGACTAAGCTAGATCTAATCTATCTCGACCATCAAAGTAACGCGATATTTGTCGTATACTATATCAAGACCACTCTGGATATAGTCTACGATAGCCTTATTGGCTTGCCGCAATGAGGCTGTCATTGCGTCTGATCAGGGTATATGATTATTGGAGCCAGTGATCGCTCATCTGACGGTTGTGGGGAGTTGTCATTGGTTGGTGATGCCTGAAATCTACGAGTGCTCATAGAAAGAAAACACATACCAATAGATACATCCACTACACATTGAACAAGCATGCAATGTTGAGAAACGTTTGATGATTCTTCTTTACAAAGGAGCGAAAACGATTTGGATTACTGTGGATAACTTTGATCTTTACCGAAAGTGAATGTATTTCCAGATTCGCCCATATATTCTACAATAAATGCAGTAGGAAGTGAAGAGTCATATAACAACCAGATAGCTCTACAAACAGCCAACACCAGTCTAGTAACTATCTACACGTTCCACAACCAACGTCATACCTTATATTTTTATGATTGATTCGGCCGTTACTTGATGAAGATACATAGTAATTTCAAAAACTACACCTCACGATTTGATCTTCACAAGTGATAAATCACTTGAAAAAGCTACTGTGCTAGCGAAACATATTGTGATTTATTTTTCAAATGAAGTTTGTGAAGATCAAATCGTGAAGTGTAGTTTTTGAAATTTATACTTATAGTTTGGGATCAGAATTGTCAGAACACATTCGGAAATCTTGTGGTGGAAATCGAGTAGAATGGAATGAAACTGAAATAATCGCCAATGAATGCTAAGAGATGAAAACTCACAGAATGAGCATACATTCTAATATCTGATGACAATTTCATATCAGTTTCTTGGATATTCATCGTATTTGGTTTCCCATCTTGAAGAAAGATGTAGAGATTGGCGAATTGGAAACAAATTGATATCTGAGAACATCATATTTTTATATCAAACATTCATGGCCGAGCCGACCCCCCACAGCGCCTGTGTGCCAAACCTATGAATCTTTATGTTTCAACTCTTGTTTATTATTTGTTATTTTTGACCGAAATGAATGTTCTCCAATTTTATATACTTAAATAATATTTTCCTAAATAGGTAAAACCAGTTAGCTTCCTCTTACCAATTACTGCAAAAAATAAAACACGAATTGAATTTTTACATATTTTTTTTATCTAATAATACTGATTCAACTATTACGTATGCTACGTTTATCAAAAACAATAAGATTCTAAAATACGTNATTACGTATGCTACGTTTGAAACAACAGAAAGAGTCTATAATATGTGAGAATATAAACATACTTGAATTATATTATTTCATTTCCACTCTTCTCGCTTTTTTTTGCGAAATCCTAATAATCTCATTAATGTTTATATGGTCTAATATGGCTTCCTATATGGATATTGTTGCTAAATTTGTTAATCTTTCCTGGCTCTTTGTTGAGCGAAGGTAATTTTTTATAAGTTTTAATTCAGAAAAAGGGCTTATGATGCACTGTTTGGAACCTTTGGTGTAGTAATGAATATTACTGGAGTTTTTTCCCAACACCGAATCGTTATTTTCAATACCTTGACACGTGTTTCGATCACCAAGTGATCATCTTCAAAGAGGAAGATTGAAACTTTAGAAAAAGGGCCTTTCCGCGCTTGCTACGGTAACTGGCATAGTTAGAAAAATTCGTAATGCTATGTTGATGTTAGGGCAAACAGCTGTCAAATTGTTTGAATATATAATATCGATAATTTTCACAACATCATTATTTAATTTTTTGAAAAAAGACTGACACGACACAATTTCTTCATACAAATCATCGGCGTTAATATCCAGATTTATGAAATATTTTTTTAATATATCCCATCTTTTGGTAGAGGACGAAAAATATTCATATATATGATTCTTGCACAATACTAAAAAATCCAGTCGTAATATGATTGAGATTTGCAGCGTCGTTTACTATTAAATATAAACTATGGCTAGCGCACGGTACATAGAAAGCGCGGGGATTTAGATCCAGCAATCTCTTTTGAAAACCAATATTCTTACCGCGCATATTTGATCCATATCAGATCCCTGTTCCCTTAAGTTGTTTATGTCAAATGATTTTCGGCTAGTTTTTCTACTATAAATGACGTTAATCCAGCGCCAGTTATATCGATAAATAATTGAACAGAAAGCTAGGAAATGCTCCTTTATTTCTTACTTTCCATTTTCTGTGTTAAAATAGACAAATCTTATTATAATACTAATTTGCTCTACATGTGAAACGTCAGATGTACAATCTACTATTATTAAAGAATATTCATTGATTTGACATAAATTTAAAATAAAATATTGAATTTGGTTATCGAGTATGCAAATTATTTCATTTTAGATCGTATCTCCAAGATAAGTCGGCATAGTTTTGAAATTCGAATTATTCTTTACGCATGGTATATGTTTCGTCATTGAAAGATCGAATTTTCCTAACAGTTCGAAACATTTTGAAAAATAGCCATTGTTACGATCGTATAATTTTTGGCTTTGGCCAAGAAAAGCCATATTATTCTTTTGATTATATCGTACCAGCGCTGCTTTTCAACCTCTAAAAGTGTTTGTTGAATACTATCAATAGTGTTTTTATTTTTAGGAGCGTGACATGAATCTGTTCATTTTTTATAATTATTGAAATGCTCATGTCTGCTGCAATAGAAAGCCAATCACTAATTTCCTCGCAGAATTTATCTTTATGTTCTGATTCAAATAGCTTGCAACAGAAGCAATAAACGGCATTTTTAGTCACTGAATACAGCAGCCACTCTCTGTGATACTTTTCACCGTTTCCTAAATGCCTTTCATAATAATACTCGGAAAATTTTCACCCCGAAGAGTCACGCGGAAAATTATAGTGTTTAATTTGTTTAATCGGATTTTCTATCAAATACTGGATCAAAGTAGCATTGAAAACTTCTGGCCAGAGGCCAGGGTCATCTTTGGAAAAAGTTGGTATTGGTGATGATAATTGTCTTGGCGGTGACAATGGTGTATCAGGCAGAGGCACGGACGTAACTTCGGCGGCATCATCTTGATATACTTATCGATACTCCACTACAAAGAATTTGTTGTTTTATAAAGGTGTATCATTCAAATTTAAAATAACATAAAAATAAAATGCTATTTGTTTTCTTTTCTTGATATGTGAACTATTCAATATCATGAGATAAAATTCAACAGCATAACATTTATAGCTTTATTTGTGGATTGATACAGTGTCACTATGTTTTCCTTGATGAATCTACTTACCAGTAGTACTGTGTTGTGTTATCCTAAAATAAGACCAAAATTCATTTATCAATTCTTCAATTAAATGATATTCTAGAGCTTACCTGGTGTCTCCTGGAAGGCTACATAAATTTAGCTTTCCGTATCTCATATGCAGAGTCTAAACCATTTTATGTAATGAAAAGAAATAGTTTTATAATTCACTCGTAATTACCTTCATTTTATGAATTTGTTTATGCTATACTATCTCACTCACCTGATGTATTATACCATGTATATAATTGTTTATTTCTTTGTATTGTTGTGATAATCGTAACATTTGATGTTCATGATCTCACTGAATCCCAAGTCATCTTTCCGGAGTGGTGTTCAATGTTTACATTTGAGTCACAGGTTATTTACATTCAAGGTTGGCCCAATCTAGTTAACATTTTTATACCGTCCTCTGCTCTTGCGTCAGTGTGAAATCATCGAATCCCGTTCATCCAATGTTCATGGTGCGCCCTCCAATTGTTTATAATCTTTCACTTATTCTGTACTCATTCTGACATGTATTGAAAAGAGATGTATATTACACTCTTGTACGTTGGGCAAAGTTTCAACTATAGCCGAAGGTTTTAGAGTTCAAGTTAGTTTTTGTTCAACAAAAAAAAGTTTTGAAGATTGCCAGTTTTATGAGATTGTGGAAAAATGAAAAGTCGTGCAGTATCTGTTGAGAGGATCAGACCTCATATTAATCTGCTCTATTTTTGGTGTTTGATGATATGTCTATCAAGTACAGGCATTGATGGATCATCGTTTTGCTGAACACCCCTCAGTCGCTGAGATGCTCAGTTGTTGAGCCCATTTGGTTTTGAGCCCATTTGGTTTTGAGCCCATATGTTGACGAGCCCAGTTCATTTTGAACATTCCTGATTCTATAGTTTCATCTGAGTTTCCATTCAGATGAACGAAAAACATTATATCCACTTGAATGTCACCACTACCTTGTGAATATTATTGAGGTCAGTTTCACCTAGTTTTAAGTATGTTCTGAAGTTATTTTATATATGAGTACCTATCATCTGATTGAAAATTATCATTTTCTTATTTTCATATAATAATAAAATCGTTTTATGTAGTTTGAACCCATGCCCCAGTGCCGCCAGACGAAGAGCTGCCGTTAGCTTGTGCAGTTGTATAAAAAAAATGTATACGCTACAAGTGTAACAAAAATAATTTCGATGGCGGTGCCTCTATTGTCTTGGTGCCTGTGTGCGCCGCACACTTCGCACACAGGGGCTCAAAAAGTTAGTCTACAAATAAAATACCTTTCGAGATGCAAACTGAGAAATGGGTGATTTTGAATTCTGAAAAGAAAGACATATTTAGGTATCCAATATGTCAAAAAAAGTTCCCTATAAAATTATCAGCTTCTTGACAAAACTATCAAACAGATATTACTGGAAAACAAAACACTGGTTCAGAGGGGAATATTGATTTCATACACTATCTTATCGTGATAAGTTTCTACACCTGTATGAAGTTTTCCATTGATACTTGTGATGACTGTTTGGAACCTTTCGTGTAGTAATGAATATTACTGGAGTTTTTTCCCAACACCAAACCGTTATAATAACACTTCGACACGTGTTTGATCTACCTCTTGAAAATGATTACTTGGTGATTGAAACTCAGGTCGAAGTGTTAAAATAACGGTTTGGTGTAATACTCCAGTAATATTCTATTCCATTCATAACTTTTATTTTTCAGGTTGTGGAAGTTGAATAGGTTCAGTCTATAAAAATCTATGGAAGACCTCTTATTATATATTTTTGATAACCTTCCGAGATAATGACCATTTTGAATTTTCATTTATCCATAGTATTGAATTTGTAGAGATCAGCAGCTAAGTTTTTTCGTTGAAAATGTTCCACTCATAATATTTCATGTTATTCAAAACTATCGTACTTACAGAAAAATACGATGAGTACTAACGGTATTGAAAGAAGGAATACACCCCAATTCATCACTCTGAAATCGTCAGCAACTTCATCCATATTGTCGCTATCGCGTACCATGATCGGAGGAACAAAGTAACTAATTGCAGTTCCTGATGTCAAACCAAGTATACCTAGAGAGCACACTGTTGATATCTATAATTCAAAACAATTCGGTTACAACTTCAGTCTTGTCGATTATCGATCAAATTTTTGAAGGTCAGAGGGGAAAGGAAGTTTATAAAATCTATCAGTTCAAAACTCTTTCATAGAATTTTCTGTTAACTATTTCAGTGATCCAATCATTTCTCTGAAAAGAGGTTGGTTGGGTAACAGGATCAATTTTTCTTTCTTAGTTCTTCATTAAATTACTCACCGAAAAGTAGTTTTTTCATGTTGATAATATTATTATTTTGAAAACCATTAGACATATTAGATACATATTCCAAAAAAAAATAAAAAACATTGCAACAACCAAATTTCCGAGACAACACCAACACAAAACGACATGAAACAAACGAATGGCTTTACCTATGATTCTGTTTTTTAATCGATTACAGAAAGAAAAAGAATGAAAAACGGGGGGTAAATTTTTCAGATATTTACGTATCAAATTGAAATATGCAGTATTGAGGCCATCGATATCTCTTCTAGTGTTAACACTATCGCATTTGAGGATATGTATCATTTCGCTCAATAGTCTCTTGGATAAATATGGTTGAACATCTAGAATAGTTGGATGATCAAAATAAAAAAGCTGGCTGTCCATATTTTTCTCATATTCAACCTGTAAGGTTTTTTATATTAGGTTTCTTAGAATATCTCATGTGTTCTGAAACTCGTGTTTAAAGATACCGTCTGGTTTGACCAACCTAGCATTTGTAACAACTTACACAGTTCAATTTGTGTATTATATCGGATTATATTTCTTGTGGTGTTTTTGTTTTTTGTTTCGAGAAAAATTGCTTTCCAACTGTATTTTCATTTGAAAAGGCCACTTCAATTTATTCGGCACTGCATATTTCAATTTGATACCTACCTACCTGCCGTTGATTGAAAAATAGACACCACCTTATCAGAATCACAATCATGTCGTTTTGTGTTGGTGTTGTCTCAGAAATTTGGTTGTTGCAATGTTTTTTATTTTTTTTTGAATATGTATCTAATGTCTGATGGTTCCTAAAATAATGATATTATCTAAACGAAAAAACTACTTTTCTGTGATTAATTTAATTAAGAACTCATTATTTCTTGTGAAATTGAAACAATTATAATCGTATAAGTTTCGTGGAAGGTATGTTTATGAAAATTCATTGTTACAGAGCACTGAAGAAGAATTTTCTCTTGTTCACAAAGTTCACATATATGAAGACAACTCAGAAAAATGAGTAACATTTGAAGAAAGGAAAAAAAAGTTTGATCATTAGCTAAATGTTTTTAGATACCTACAGATGAATGCATTCATTTTCATGAAAATAACTTTTTCTCGAACAGTATGCAATTCAGATGAATGTTACGGTTTCGAAAAAATATCATTCACGGGAATCTTATTTGTTGTAGTATACAGTATGTCCCAGAATTTGTGTTACAAGAGATGCGATGGGCTAAACATTTTTAAATTTCATTGTAAGATTGTGATATTCAGTTCTGGTTATGAGAAATGATTTTTAGGAATAACTTCAGTCTTCGAAAACAAGACACCCTTGTCGGCAAAACGATGTGGTAAAATATGGTTCCGTACAAAATTCAGATTGGGTAATTACCCACAGATAAAATTGAAAGAATGTAATGATGTTATTGATTTACTCGAAAAGAATTCAGGTAACCTTGTCAGAATCATTTGTGGGTGAATACAATTTATATTTCTCAGTATGAAAAATTACGCTCTAATCAATCATTTTCGTTCAATAATATGAGACAGCGCTTGTGACACTCGCCACTGTTTTCTAAGGTCAACGTCTCTCTCTGTCTTCTGAATTTCCAGGTCAATTTGTGGTTTCAGTCAAGGAACTCATAAAGAAATGATTTGGAGTTATACTTTCGGGATCGAATTAGCATATCCACATCGTCAGTATGAACAAAATTCAGGTACTCAATCAAGCTGAGTACCTCTATTATTACCTACAGTGGTGTTATATAAGAGCTAATGTAATCAATCATTGTTAGTTCAATGTATGAGTTTGAAAATGTCCTTTTCTTTTTTACGTAGTTACGGCTACATCCATAAATTTATTGTTTGAAGTAGTCCTTCGATCGGAAATATTCCTTTCGAATTTCACTCAGTACTGCCTTTACTGATTGCACCAACCAGCTACCTCCCATGTATGGCGAAGCAATTTATTTCTTCGGCATGTATGACATTACATTCAAAATATTTCCGTAATTCAATGATAAAAATGTTAGCAAACTACTATTCCTTTGATACCTACCTCCTCAGGTTTGAACCATACCACACTCAGTTTTGATGGTAGATTCAATAAGAATATTTGAGATGCAGCAACAATCAATTGTCCCAGAATAACAACATAAAATGAGTTTTCGCCAACAGAGAAGACCTTCACACCTGAGCCAAGTGCCGTAGACAAAATACCAATCAAAACTGCAACTCTCAAACCCTGCAAAATCAAAATAATATTAATGATACATTCATCCCGGTAAATAATTTTCGTATACCTATGTAAGTCTGATTTTGGATTTGAAAATGATGGACTACAGAAAAAAACGTCACCGTAATATATTACATTTGGGGAGTAAGTCCAGATTTTCGTGTAAAATATTCATAAGAAATGTCAAGTAAATCACTGACGTCACCACTCTTCACTAACATATTAACATTATAAACAATATTGCATTGCAAACAACTGATTTTTGCTTTATGGAGACTATGAAAAACATGTACTTAACCAAAACTTAATTATATTGATGAAGTGTATAATAAAGGTGTTCATTGCACGAAATATAAAAAATCAGATAAGGGAAGTGTCAGTGACTTGGAGAGGTAGTTTTTCTTTGTTTGAGCTAGTACTCAATGTTACATTCAAATAGTTTTTATTAAAACAGTCTGGCTAATTGGTTCTCTCAAAGCCAAAAAATTTAAACCACACACACACACACACATATTGTTACCCGGACACTTTTTCTTCTGAAATAGTTATGAAATATGCTCTATTACTGCTGAAGAATTTGAGGTATTTACTTCCGCTTGAAGGTTTTCCAATGATTTCAAATTCGAAACTTTCTGTTCTCTACGAAACATTTTTTTTCTGACAGATTTATCTTGNTTTTCTAAGGTCAACGTCTCTCTCTGTCTTCTGAATTTCCAGGTCAATTTGTGGTTTCAGTCAAGGAACTCATAAAGAAATGATTTGGAGTTATACTTTCGGGATTGTTGTAATCTGATGAAACGATGTCAAAAGTCGACTATTAACTACATTATCTGCTTCAACTTTTAATGTTTCTAGTAGTGAAGAAAAGAGAATTGAAACTTTCTATGTTTTTTACTACTTTTATTTGTAACTAACGTTACTGCAGTTTCATCCTATAAGGACATTAAACTAATAATGATTCATTACATTAGCCCTTATATAACACCACTGTAGGTAATAATTGATAACCGGTGAGTAAACCAAATCGATTTGATCATTTAACAGGTTGCATCCGCAATGTTTATGCTTGTGAATTTTCATAGATTTCAAATATTTAAGTTTGCAACCCTGCCTTGCATAATGCAAAATTTCGGTATCGTTTAGATTCGGGAACTTGTGGTTGCATGTCAAGGAATGGTTTGAAAACGTCGAATCATTTCAACCTAGTCTGAAGGACCTTTCATGTTCAGCATACCGTTTTTGGAAACTTCTACCACATTGTCCTACATAAACACTATTACACTCCGGACACTTAAGCTTATAAACTTCAGGATCTCTCTAACTCATCTACTTTATCTTTGGCATTGAAAAGGAAATCGGATAACCTGGCATGTGGTCTGAACGCCTCTTCCACATTGTTTTTTCTGGAGAAACCTGCAATTATCTCTGTTTTTTTACCAAAATAGAGTTACCATTTCTTGATTTCTGATTGTCTGATATTTGGTAAAAGAAGAGAGATAATTGTGGGTTTCTTCAGAAAAAACAATGTGGAAGTGGCATTCAGATCACGTGCCAGGTTATCTGGTTTTCTTTTCAATGCCAAAGAACATAAACATTGCGGGTGCAACCTGTTGAATGATCAAATCGATTTAGTTTAATCACCGGATTTCAAAATAGCATATCCACATCGTCAGTATGAACAAAATTCAGGTACTCAATCAAGCTAAGTACCTCTATTATTACCTACAGTAGTGTTATATAAGGGCTAATGTAATCAATCATTGTTAGTTTAATGTATAAGTTTGAAAATGTCCTCAGAGGACGAACGTTAGTTACAAATAAAAGTGGTAAAAAACATAGAAAGTTTCAATTTTCTTTTTTACGTAGTCACGGCTACATCCATAAATTTATTGTTTGTTGTGGCCTTCGTTCAGAAATATTCCTTTCGAATTTCACTCAGTACTGTCGTTACTGATCGCACTAACCAGCTACCTCCCATGTATGGCGAAGCAATTCATTTCTTCGGCATGTATGACATTACATTCAAAATATTTCCGTAATTCAATGTAAAAATGTTAGCAAACTACTATTCCTTTGCTACCTACCTCCTCAGGTTTGAACCATACCACACTCAGTTTTGATGGTAGATTCAATAAGAATATTTGAGATGCAGCAACAATCAATTGTCCCAGAATAACAACATAAAATGAGTTTTCGCCAACAGAGAAGACCTTCACACCTGAGCCAAGTGCCGTAGACAAAATACCAATCAAAACTGCAACTCTCAAACCCTGCAAAATCAAAATAATATTAATGATACATTCATCCCGGTAAATAATTTTCGTATACCTATGTAAGTCTGATTTTGGATTTGAAAATGATGGACTACAGAAAAAAACGTCACCGTAATATATTACATTTGGGGAGTAAGTCCAGATTTTCGTGTAAAATATTCATAAGAAATGTCAAGTAAATCACTGACGTCACCACTCTTCACTAACATATTAACATTATAAACAATATTGCATTGCAAACAACTGATTTTTGCTTTATGGAGACTATGAAAAACATGTACTTAACCAAAACTTAATTATATTGATGAAGTGTATAATAAAGGTGTTCATTGCACGAAATATAAAAAATCAGATAAGGGAAGTGTCAGTGACTTGGAGAGGTAGTTTTTCTAATGTCGGTTTACCATATACTTTGATAGTAACAGTATTCAATGTCAATAATACGATTGACATTGAAAATTTCAATCAGTTTCTATTATAATTATTTTTTCACCGATGTTTGCGCTGGTCAGGCCCCATTCACCGGAGCCCAATGATCCCTTAGTGATCATTGGGTCCGAGAATCATGTGCCCTGAGTAAGCGCAGTCAGCCAAGAATGACAGCTTTCTGCAACTATCCGGCTAAGAGTTCTGTCTTCGTGCGGCAAGCCGGTATGATTTTGAGATTCGAGAGTAGAGAGGACATCATTCCACCAAGGATTCCAATAATCAGAACAACCATCTTGACAGAGTGGTCTGGATATAGTCTACGGAGATCGAAGAGGAAATCTCGATATTTTATCCGTTTTTCCTCCTCTTTTTGGGCGATATTTGTCTCGCCAGGAGCTGAAAACTCCACGACGAATATCGTCTTGCTATGGTGGTCGAGAAAGACCACATCAGGCTTATTAACTTGTATGAGCCTAAGGGTGATAAATGATAGTTCCAATAAATTCGAAATTTCTCGTTCCTCACAACGGATACAATATCCCCCGGAGCGTAGGGAATCACCGGTGTCTCGTCGATACCGTGAGAGTGCCGGTGATGAAGCACTCTCAAGGCTGCGTTATGTCGATTGATGTAGGCCGAGACGGCATATTATTATTATGGTTGTTATCAATGTGATGAAAATAAAAATTCCTGAGTTGAGAAAATAGATATTTTTATAAACTCACGAGAGTATAAAAGTAGTTCTATAGATAACATTTCAAAATACATACATAGTTCATAAGTTGTTTCCTGAAGAATTCAGATGACTGCTATTTTTGAATTTTTTGAAATAGTCTTGAAGTAATGTTATTCTCATTATATTGTTGTAAATCATGCCCTAAAGAAAGTAATGCCAGCCGCCGCTGGTGGCCATGAATCAATTGTGACGTGACCAAGATCACAACCAAATCAACTTGCGCTAGTGGCCGTTGCAGACGTGGTGTTTCTTCGAGATCCTGCTTCCGATGTTTCGCGGCTGTTAGATGTTCACGCCGCTTCGATAGAATTCCGAAGAATTTTCCAGCGCATTCGATTGCCAAATATAAACACGATCCACTCGCCAACCGAGACAGTCAAGTGCAAGTTGAATTGAAAGGGGTATATTTTCAGAAGAGATCAGTTTTTGGAAAAGAAAGGTTTTGGCTTTCAACATCTCCATCTTTATACTTTATTGGTGGACTTCCAAAAGAAATTGAATAATTTCAAAACAATGAATTTCATGTGATTCAATGTTCATTGAGTTATACGAGAATCACTTTTTCCCATTCAGTTTTTACTCCAAACATGCGTTATGGAACTGAAACAGATATCATCCATAGGAACGCTACACAATATATTGTAATTATGAAAGAGTAACGATATAAAAATTCACTTACATGGAAACCTATAGGTAATCCGCAATGGTGGACTTGAAAGTTTAGGAATAAGATATTTGTTTGACTATCTTATCATTACTGATATGGAAAACGGCACAAGGTGAAGCACTCAATGGAAGTTNCAAATTGCTCTTTGAAATAAATTTCGAGTTCGACCGCATTAGCCTAGGTAAAATTGCCTGTCTGCCATGTGCTGGATCAGAGAAATTTTGAGTTAAATGTACATTGTTTGACATGGTGAGTAAGCAAACTAGATCACATCACTTCCGGATGTGATCAACACAGGGGAGAGGATGTCAACACTTGGTATTTTTTTATTTTTTTTATGTTGATTTTGTATTCAATATATCATAAGATTTCTTAGAATAATTCATAACATATTTTTTGTTTCAATATTGTATTTATTCATTTTTGAAATCTGTTTTAGGTCAATTGGTAAGGCGTTGAAAAATTTTGGACCGAAAAAGAGGAATGTTCTTTGTGTTAATGATTTTCAAAGAATTGGATGTTAACATTCATGTTTGTGGTAGACCTGTTTATCCTAGTATTTTTCTAGTTGAATTTCTCTTGATTTATGAACATTATCTTCGAAAATTGGTGAGTGTATGATAGTTCAACATTTGATATGCCTACTTGAAAAAATATTCTGAAGGCCAAATTAATAAATACGATAAGTTGAGAATGAACAGAACATTTTTCTATAGGAAAACTGAAACTGAAAGTGAACACTTTCTACATTAGTTTTTTCATTTAATTGTGAGGTAGAATGATTCCAAAGAAGGTCAATGAAACAATCATTCATTTCATCAATAACTACTTTTTGGTGAATATTGCATTTAAGACGATATAATATTAGGACAATGATTACAAATTATCCACTGAATATGTTGATCTATCGTATGAGTTTATCGAGGATGTTTGCAAAGCTGGAATAGAATTACTACGTACATTTTGAATAGCTGTGAAACCCACTGGTTATTCCAATATTTTGTAATGGTCCTATACTGATCCAATCAATCAGTACCAATCTGAAAGTAACTTACAATCTATCACCCAACCTACTAGTTGGAATCAGGTTATAATGAAAATTTTTTGCCAAAAAAATTATCCTATTAAATTTGTCTATTTCTAGTCATGTGTGTCGAAATAACCAATAAAACCATCATTACACTGATAACTACCCATGGATAGTTTTCACGGGTAGTTATCTTGAAGAATTTGAGGTATTTACTTCCGCTTGAAGGTTTTCCAATGATTTCAAATTCGAAACTTTCTGTTCTCTACGAAACATTTTTTTTCTGACAGATTTATCTTGTGTTACGTAACTCTGTATTATTCCTGGAAGTCTAAACAACAAAATTTCACACATAGTAAATTCAGTCTTGAATAAATGTTTAAGATGCAAAAATAACTTCATGTGCAGACTCTAACATAAAAAAACAACAAAAGCTCTTCAATTTACTAGAAATATCTCGTTTGTTATCGGAGGTATAGAATTTCGAAATCTCGAATTCTACTGAGGCGGCACCCGCCACATACGTTGCTCTAGGAGGAAGCCAGGAGTCAGTTAGTGTCCATCGTGTAACTGGACACTTAGTCAGCAGTATTTCTTCTATATCAATAAACGTCGTGCGTTGCGAAATGGAATTATTCAAAAGTAACCAGTCACAAGTTGAACTTTCATATATTAAATTGTATTCTTCTTGTAACTCAGGGGTAACTTACCTTCTCAAGTAAAGGAAGTTTTTGAGAAGTTATTTTTCATAAGTGAAATCAACAATAGTACTAGTGTGTACAAGTTATATTAAATATGAGAGGAAATGGATAACAAAGAATATTTCGTCACTCACCATTTTATCGATAATATAAGATGCAGGAAATACCAATATTGGCCACATAATAGCAAAAGACATCGATGTCCAGTCTACTGTTGAAGCACTCACATCATAATATTTCATTACTACATTCGTTATAATTGAATATTCTATCCACTGCGTTGAACTTAAGCAGGTACACAAAATATAAATCATCAAAATGATCCATCTTTCACGATATACTTCAATAGTAGGTTGAATTTTCTCGTCTTCGAGGTCATTAGCGTCCATCTTAGCAGCAATTTAGTAGCAACTTCTCACAACAAAACATTCGTGAACTATTCCAGTGACTACGAGTATTTGCGCAGATTCATGAATAATCGCTTTTGCAAAATATAACATAATGAGATGTATATTCACATGAAATTGTGATAAAGATAAAAACTAACTAACCAACCACTGATAAAGTTTGGAAAAATGTTGATAAATTGGTGAATAAATTTTAGTAATTGCCACGAAACGTTATCATATAATCAACAGTCACATGCGATCAGTATAGATATATTTATGTGTATATGTCTGAGGTGAGACGTATCCACGCTCCATGAAACTTGTTGCGTTCTTGAGAAGAAAACTTTTTGCCTTTCTACTTCTCCATCTTCACACATAAAATGTGGGAAACAGAAACTTAAAATGAACCATTTACAGATATGCGTAGATCATGCATAGAAGTTACTTCCAGATACAAACTGGAAAAAACATTCCCCCGAAAAAGCTACTTCCCCATGAATATTGAATTGAAGAAAAAGTACTTTCTCAACATCTACTTTAATATCAACATCGTTATTAACAGTTCATATCTGAAATTAACCCTTTGTGAGGAGTTTATCTTGAATTGAATTGCTTTAGATATTACTGGAGTCATTCCGTTATTTCAATACCTCGACACGTGTTTCGAACACCAAGTGATCATCTTCAAGAGGAAGATTGAACTGAAGATGATCATTTGAGGATGACCACTTGATGATCGAAACATGTGTCGAAGTGTTGAAATAATGGTTTGGTGTTGGGAAAAAACTCCAGTGATATTCATTACTTCACCAAAGGTTCCAAACAGTGCATCACAAGTACTTATCAATTCATTGGTTTCTATTAGAAACAGGCCGAACAATTATTGATCTATTGCCAAACATTCCAGAAGGCTGACTTTCCAATCTTTCTTATAGAAATTGATAGTGTCGAATTAGTCATTGAAAATGTGTAGAGAGGTGAGTATGTTCATTCGCTACAAAACAGCAATAAGTAGCGAATTAAAATGCTTTCTTGATTATATGTGATGAGATTTGTAGATATTTACGTACTGTTTCAATTCAAATCAATTTTCATTTACTCAAAATCAGAGTACATGGTATCAAATCTTAACAAATTGCTCTTTGAAATAAATTTCGAGTTCGACCGCATTAGCCTAGGTAAAATTGCCTGTCTGCCATGTGCTGGATCAGAGAAATTTTGAGTTAAATGTACATTGTTTGACATGGTGAGTAAGCAAACTAGATCACATCACTTCCGGATGTGATCAACACAGGGGAGAGGATGTCAACACTTGGTATTTTTTTATTTTTTTTATGTTGATTTTGTATTCAATATATCATAAGATTTCTTAGAATAATTCATAACATATTTTTTGTTTCAATATTGTATTTATTCATTTTTGAAATCTGTTTTAGGTCAATTGGTAAGGCGTTGAAAAATTTTGGACCGAAAAAGAGGAATGTTCTTTGTGTTAATGATTTTCAAAGAATTGGATGTTAACATTCATGTTTGTGGTAGACCTGTTTATCCTAGTATTTTTCTAGTTGAATTTCTCTTGATTTATGAACATTATCTTCGAAAATTGGTGAGTGTATGATAGTTCAACATTTGATATGTTTGCTTATCGGTGGAAAAACGTAAATTTTTTTTCAGGATGATTTATAATAGTGTATTTGTGTCGTTTGTACAATGTTCAGTGTGTTGTTGAAGGCTCCCCCCCCATATTGTTACCATTCACACCTTCATTCCACATACCGATTCGAATCGAATTTACAAGAAAGATTTGAATGAAATTTGGCAAAATCAATTCAATGAATCTCAGCCAGGCAAAAACTTCAAACAGCTCTTCCCAAAGATTATTGGAAAGAGATGGTTTGAACAAGAGAGCGACAGAAAATACATAAATACAATAAACCGTTTACGATCAAATCACGCTATCTGCCCAGCTTACAAATTCAAAATTGGATTAACAGATAATCCTCTATGCTCATGTGGACGTTATGGCGATCTCAATCACATCATGTTGGAGTGTTCGCACCACATCCACAGTATAAATACCCTTTACTCTGAATTGAAATTTCATAATATCTTTTTTCCAATAAACTTAAATTGTATGTTAACTTCAAACAACAGAAATATATACAAATTATTATACAATCATCTAATAAGATNTTAGTACAGTTGAAAGTAGAAGAAATACAAAAAGTGTTTTCCCTAAAAACTAATACGTCCCGATAAATATACCCCTTTCAATTTAATTCAGTTTTATGGTTATTTATATCGTAGACCATCACACAGGCAAAGCCAATTACAGAACGAGAAAACAAAAATGTGATGATACAATAACAAAAACAAATTATAAACGATCTGAATGAGATAATAGAAAAAATGGCATTAATAATCAAATGAATAACGTGTTGGCTTTCTACTTCTCTATCTTGATACAAAAATGTGGGAATCAACTGAAGAAAGAATGGAAGCAATCAATTCAAAAAAATTACTCTATACAAAGATGTGTAGGGCATACAAAGAAGTAACTTCCAGACACAAACTGGAAAAGAAAGTCCTCTCAAAACAGCTATTTGTATATAAACATTGAATTACATGAAAGAAATACTTTCCAAATCAATACTTTCATATAAACGCTGAATTATACGAAAAATATTTTTCTCTCTTCTGTTTGTATTCCAACTATTCATGATGGAATCGAATCAGATATCATTCACTGGATTCATACACAATACAATAAATGAAACGAGTAAAATTTCACTTACATGGAATACCACACTGGTAGACATCTGATGTTTAGCCGTGAGACACTTGCCTTATCGGCTCTACTGTACCAAATACCAAACAAGCGAATGAATGTTATTTAGTACTGTCATGGATATCATGTGACAAAAAAGTCTTAATTTTATGAACGAATTGAGTCTCTTTTCTCATAAAGGTATCTGTATTCGGAACTGAGGAGCCGATAAGGGAATTGTCTTACGGCAAAACATCGGATGTCAACCAGTGAGACTGACTATTAAAAAAAAAGTTCGGTTAAAAATCTGTTTTTGCGTTAACCAGTTGTCGCCTCCCTACAAACGTCAACTCTCAAAATTCGAAACTTGTGCCAGCTAGGAAGTAACTAGGTCTTACCTTTCAATGTGTGATTCCTGACATGGGTTGGAGGATAGGAAGTGAAAATCGATCGACTGATATTGCGGTTCGAATCACGGGCTCACAACAAACCTACCAGGCTTCCATCTCACCAGTGTTTCATGGAAGTGAAATTTTCCTTCTTTCATTTATTATGTTGTGTAGAAATCCCGTGAATGATATCTGATCCGATTTCATTACGAATGTTTGGAATCCAAACGAAATAAAGGAAAGTGTTTTTCGTATATTTCAGTGTTCATATAAAAGTATTTGTTTCGAAATTAGCTTTTTCCTGTAATTCAATGTCTATATAGAAATCCTTCGAAAAGGCTTTTCCTTCCAGTTCGTGTCTGAAAGTTACTTCTTTGCATGATCTACACATCTTTGTATCCCTTCATTGGAAGATTCCCACATTTTTGTATCAAGATGAAGAAGTAGAAAGCCAAAACCTCTCTTTCCCAAAAATTATTCTCTTTTAAAAATATACGCTTTCAATTCGAATAGATAACGTATTCTCGATGAATCTTCAAAATACTCGTATATAATAATAAATGCTTTTATTGAAAGGTTACTCAGTACAAGGGATACTAATCTAACCTAACAAATGGCAGAATT